TTAAAATTCATTAACCTAAAGTATAAAAGGGTGTCTTCTGGAATTGGCTCAGCCCAATCTGCTTGGTGGGTGGACATGATTCATTGTCGTTCTCTCGAGCCCCGTCAACAACCGCACAGCGGCTAGTAGAACACTATGGACAATGACAAGGTAGATTGGAATGACCATTTGAAGCCACTTAGCTGTCATCAGCCAGCCATACCCAATGCAAGGCCGTGCTCCAGACTAGCCTCCAAAGAGCCGCTGCCTCATTCCACATAGTTTTTGCCACTGATGTGCAGGACACAGTGAAGCGTCACTCGCACATGGCAAGGCTTGGCCCACAGCCAATCGAGCAGCCTTTTAGGCTCAATGTTACCCTGGTTCAGACTGCCAGGCTATGCTACCTGAAGGTGTGGTTAGCCTGATTGATTGCGACATATAGGCTCTTCCCGTCTCCCTTGTTTTCACCCAAATGTCTTCAACACTAACTGAATTTTATTTCATAAAGGATAGGCGACCACACAAACTTCCATGTGCTACACTTCCTTGTCACCCCAATAAAAATAACTTGTTAACTTGTTAATCAATTGTGAATTAGACAGACCAAACACTAGACGAACGAAAATACTTTTTGTGTAAAAATATCAACTCACAGTCCTCGTGTCCCAGCGCGGCCACTATAAACAACGACAGAAGCAGTATCGGCTAAAAGGAAAAGAAACGTTTTGCAGTTAGGTGTGGTTTGTGTTCGCATGAACCCTTTAAAGAACCTTGCATAGGGACGAGCTTTGACTATAAATGGTCGAAAGCCCTCTGGCAATACGCATCTAACCATCCCTTATAATCACAATAGTGATACATTTGCATATACTTAAAAATAAGCAAGGCCAGTGACTACAAGAATGCAAACAAAAGAGGGGACTTTGTTTCTTACATAATTACACATAATTACTTTATCTATGTTTGACCAGTATCGTTTATAATGCACTGCGTGGATTAATGCAACCTTTTTCCCGGAGGTCGGCACATCCTTTTCCAGGCAAATGCGAATTTGGCAAAAAGGAGAGTTAAAGCGCTCCCAATTAGTATAAATATCCAAAATTACTAGACGGAATTTTAGGTGGGAAATACGGTCTATTTGAGGCTAAAATACCATTAAGCATGGAGCAAAGTATTAATTTTATCTACATAACTCAGTACAAATTGTTTTTCTCTGAAAGCTTCGGTCGTGAAAAATATGCCTATGCGAATATCATATTTAGTTTCCAACAGTCTTGAGAGTAAAACGGTTTTCGCTTACCAATTAGGTTTTAATACAGATTAAACGAATTTAGAACAGGCACTTTTTCGCTTCCCTGTGTTGATTATATATACATTGAGATAGTATCGTACTCATCTCTCCCCGAGGGAGACGAATTAGTTAGAGGCGTGATCATAGACCGGCATATATTTGGAGTCGAGGAATTATGAGCACGATAATGTTTCTGGACCTTGCATGTTTGTGCAAGGTTCAAGCCGGTTTTATAGCAGAATCTTGCAATAGGCACTAAATAATTTGTTGGCATCAGAACTGCAACAACTCTCCATAAAGGCCTTATTTTCTGGAAAACCGTAATGGGAAATAATGTTTTTAACAATGTCTTTTGGTATAAGCGAGTTAACTTTTATGAAAATTACAAATCCGTCACAACGTTGCTCGATACTAGGCTTTGCATTAAATGATCCTTAGCCAAAAAAATCCCTTTTTTGTGATGCAACATTACGTGAAGCACCCGAAATGCAGTAGGAACTTCAGCGAGCAAGTTTTATTCAAAGACCAGCAATATTTACTGATGTCAAATAAGTTTACAACTTTCTAAATATGTTATGGCAGATTGTCAATACCAAATAAGATACATACACCAGGCTGCCTTCATCTATATGAAGCACAGATTGCTTTTTTCCAATAGACACGTGTCAAGATAGATGAGGATTTGTCAAGGAAGAAATGTACTATCCGTCGGAGGAAGAGACGGTTTTTCTTTCGGCTACTTAGCGGTACAGCACAACCCTAGTAAAAACGTTCTACCTGAAATGGATGCATACTGACTTTAATTAATTGCGAAAACTAGTTCCGCTGATTCTGGTGGTTTCAACCCTTAACACATCCATTCTCCTACTCATCCTCTAGGATTCCAAGGATGATAAGTTGCCGTTTTTCCAAGTACTTCTCAATTTAATAAGTGGAAATGGTTCATTGTCTAGTAAGTCCTGTGGATGCTTCTATTTCCAAAGCGTGCGAGCATGTGCAAGCAACAAACCCTTGCTACCAGCTGTCACTTCCACATAGTCTAGAAAAGCGTCCAATTTGGTCTTCGGGCACATAATATATAAAAACACAACTTGTTAATGTTTTCTAGGACAAATAATACATTTAAAGTAAATAGAAGTACTGGTAAAAGAAACAGCTTTCTGTTAGGAGACTGCTGTGGCCGACTGGACTTACCGACATGGTGTTCTGAGAAGGCTGGTCTATCCGGGTGCACTTTGATCCATCTCTTATATGCTGGCTTGGTTGTGGCTGCGGGTGTGAGTGCGTCCGTGTGTGTGCGCGCGCGTGCGTGTGTTTGAGTCGCCATGACAGCAGGCCAAAACCAT